ACAGACAGACGGACGGACTGACGGACAGACGGACAGATGGACAGACAGACAGGTAGACAGATAGACAGGTAGACAGGTAGACAGATAGACAGACAGACAGACAGATGATAGATAGATGATAGATAGATAGATAGATAGATAGATAGATAGATAGATAGATAGATAGATAGATAGATAGATAGATAGATAGATAGATAGACAGACAGACAGACAGACAGACAGACAGACAGACAGACAGACAGACAGACAGACAGACAGACAGACAGATAGTGTTTGGCATGCTGTTTCATAAGAGAGCCCTGAGCTCAAAAGATGTTTGAGCCAGGGCTCCCTCCTGTTTCATCAGGAAAGAGCAAAGTCTAGGCTCAGATAGGTCTTGAGAGCTCCCCATAATTTGTTCACTTGGCCTATTACTTGATTATTAGGGGTTGTCACGGCGGAATAAACTGCCAACTATACTAACTGGACTGTGAAAGAAAACCGGCCTACCCAGGGGAAACCCATGGGGAGACGCAGCCAGGACTCAAACCAGCGACCTTCTTGCTGTGAGACAACAGGGTTAACAACTCAGCCACCATGCTGCCCTGTTCTGGATTAATCTAGGAAATAGGGGAAGGAGTAGAGGTGGATGGGGGTATCCTTCAAATTGAAGATGATTAAGGTGAGAAAATCTGATTATTTATGTGCATTGGGATTTGTCTGATTGGTAAATCATGTGATAGCTAATGCGGGACCTGCCGTGGTCAATCATAAGCAAGGGATCACTTGAAATGAGTTTATAAATAAACTTCACTTATGTTTACTTAGGTGGGTTTACTCACTTTATTATACAGTTGTAAGAGTTAGGTTTTCTATAGGAATGTATACTCACAACATTATGTTGGTTCATAGCTACCTATTCAAAATAAGCTAAAAAAACAACATTGTTTAAGTTTTTTTTCCACAAATTAATTGTTTTATTTTCAATTCACTTTAATTTGTAAAAACTAGTAAGTTCATGTCATTCCTTCATGTCATCCCAACACAAATTGGTTGTGTGCAACCCAACATTTTTTCCAGTGTATACACTAAAAGCATTTTCAACTTTGTTTTGGGATGTGATTGATAGGATTATGTGCTATGGCGAGCAACAGGCCCGTTTCACAAATCCACGTTTCTCAGAAGTAGAAGTCATCACAGTTAGATATGGACAAATAAAAGTTTGGTATTGCTATTTGCTCAAATATTTATAGTAACTCCACAATAGTGTTTTCACAACTTTCACAGTAAGGGCAAAAGATGTGTGAGACTGATAACGACAGCCAAAATGATATAACAGAAAATACATCTTATATTTTTTTAAATCAATATATTAAAAACTTTCAAGCAATTAAGATGTTGATGACTGTTAAATCTGAAAAGCGTCCATTGGCATCTCTCACTTAGGAATGATTTTTAGCATCAGATTTGCAAATGAACATCACTAACTTGCTAAATGTAGCAATTTATCATATTTGTCTAATATAAAAGAGATAAAGATTACCTAAAAGTGAAAACTCTGTTATCATTTACTCACCCCTTCACTTATCACAAAACATCCTTTCTTTGTTTTTTGTTTTTGTTTGTTTTTTTTTTGTTTTGTTTTTTTTTTATTTGTTTTTTTTTTTAAATACTGATAAGTTACAGCAATTGGCTTCCATAGTATAATTGTTTTTCCTACAAATGGATATCAATAGAGTTGGTGGTTTATTCTGTTGTGGCAACCTCTGAAATAGAGACTAAGCCATAGGGAATGAATGCATGGATGTTGATATAACATTGATGTCAATAGTTGATGGTTTACAACATTCTTAAAAATATCTTCTTTTGTGTTCAACAGAAGAAAGAATCTCAAACAGGTTTGTGATGAGTTAAGTATAAGTAAACTACAGAATAAAAATTTTGTGGTAATTTTAATCTATTCAAATTTAATATTCCTTTATTGATTCCCTTTAGTGGACTAATAATCCAGTTATATACATTAAATAAAAACGTTTTTTTTTTCCTCATTATTCAGACATTATCCTAAAACCAAAGTAGAAATGTGTTTTTATAATATTTAGCACTCTATAGTACATTAAAACTTAAGATTTCAGGCTGAATGCAGCATTTTTGTTTTCACTTAGTATGATGTTGGAGGACGTGGACATGTTTTTGAACTTTAGGTTGCAGCAGGACTCCCCAATCCCATGGAATGCCGAAATTGAGCAGAATTTCATCCAGGAGTAAACTGTCTGACTCTGGACAACCGGGGCCAGTAAAATCCTTTTATAATTCTTCCAGGACTTATGAGCTTCAACAAGTCTTCCTCTAAGTTTCTCTGAAATCTCAGTTGATCCACACATATTGCACTTGAATGCAATGTAGTTGTGAAGAGAAGATCAACAAAAAGTTTTTATTATCCAGCAGGAACAGCGAAGTCACCAAACTATTTTTTTTATTGCTATTATATATCTTTTTAAAAGCTGCCAATATAATTACATTTCTGTGTAATATGTAAATACTGCTGGTATGCATGCTAAGCTCACAAGTTATCATTCAGTATTAACAAGTATTACTGATATTATTAAGTATTGAGAAAATAAGTATTTATTAGAAGTCCAACATAATGTTGGGCAGTGTTAGGTGTTAGTTACAAACTAGTTAAAACTGTAATTAAATTACTTTTTGCCAAATTAAGGGATTAGCTTCTGTTTTAGGTAATTTAATTACTGTAACTCAATATGTGTGCTTAAATACTTTCAAACTGTTTGTATAAAACAATTTAGAGAAGCAGAGTAATTGTTAAAATTTTGGTGTTGAGCTAACATATTTTGCATAATAAATGTATTTTCAACTAAAGTGGAATGCATTTGTCAAGACAATTGCATATGCTTTTAAAAAAAAGATGAATTATTTCATGATGATATAAGGTCTACATTCAGAGAACCACAGTACCTGCATATTTATATTATTGTTATTCAGATTCTTTGCATAGCAATACAATTTTTCTTTAAAAGGATTTATTTATTTATCAATTATACAACAATTCTTAGAAACAATCAAATTTTTTAGAAAATTTATGTCAATATATGAATGAAATATAGTGTTATTACTTGGACACATTTCGAGTTTTGAGTATATATATATATATATATATATATATATATATATATATATGTTGTTTCAAATTTAAATTCTATTTTATTACCATAAATTTTGACTGAAATTTAAAGAAATAATAATTTACCTTCTATTGTATATGTGCTAGTTTTTAAATGTTTTTTTTTTTTTTAGTATTTATTCATTTCTTTTAGGCTTAGTCCCTTTATTAATCAGAGGTCGCCACAGCGGAATGAACCGCTAACTTATTCTGCATATTTTTTATGCACTTCTTCACACACTACACTATAGACAATTTAGCTTATTTAATTTCCATATAGCGCATGCCTTTGGACTGTGGGGGAAACCGGAGAACCCAGAAGAAACCCATGCCTACACAGGGAGAACACGCAAACTCTACACTGAAACACCAACTGACCCAGCCTTACTCAAACCAGTGACCTTCTTGCTGTGCGCCGATCATGCTACCCACTGTGCTGAGTTACATTTCAAACAAACTAACATTGCTTGCTTGTATGTACTTGTATGTTTATGTGTATATATATGCATTTATGTTTTTTGTGCTTTCCTTTTCTATATACACTACTGGTTACTATCATTTTTTTATTTTATCATTTTATTTATTAAAATTTAAATGAAATTATTCTGTTTATCAAGGGGGCATTTATGAAATGAAAAAAAAAAGTTAGATGTTAGACTCTGATGACTGGAGTAATGAAGCATAAAATTCATCATTAAAACCACTGGAATAATTAATTAAATTAATTGATAAACTACTTTTGAACTGTTATTTTATAGTACAATAACATTTTACGATTTTACAATGTGTACTGTACTTTTGATTAAATAAATTCAGCCTTGGTGAGCAGGAGAATCTTATTTTAAAACATTTGACTGGTAGTTTGACAGGTAGTGTACATTTCATGTTTTACTTTTTTAAGAAATATGTTGCATATTACTTATCATGATTATTACCTCTTTTTTTGTTCTCTCTTCCATTACAGAATAAATAAATGACAGTTGAGTGCACTTTGTGTTTAATATATATATATATATATATATATATATATATATATATATACATACATACATATATATATATATAAATATATATATATATATATATATATATACATACATACATACATACACACACACACACACACACATATATATATATATATATATATATATATATATATATATATATATATATATATATATATATATATATATATATATATATATTTTTTTTTTTTTTTTTTTTTTTTTTTTTTTGTATTGTTTATATATTTAATTGAGTCATGGGAGCGTATAGTTTTAATAATGGCTTTTTAAATGTTTCAATTTATTTTCAATGGCCTTGGACATATGATTTAATTGCTTAACATGCAAAGTAATTTAAACCCAATTTTAATGCTGTAATTAGCAATCCATTATTTAACTTATATTATTATTATAACTTACCCAGCCCTGCTGCAGGTTCTGCATACTGTACAATTTATTGTCATTTCTCTAGATGTGCTAAAAATTTATAAAGCATATGAAACATTAATCCTCATATAACCAGAACTTGTGTTTGAAATGTTGAGCTTCTCTGAACTTTTAACCCAGATATATCCGCATAAATAAATTAATATTTACACTTAAAGCTCTTAATCCTCCAAGTCTGACATTAAGTGAAACTTTGATGGGTTTTTAGCATGATATTAAAAAAAAATGATATTAAGAAAATCCAGGTAAGAAGCTTAACTCAATTTGAAGGTCATCTGAAATCAGTTTAAAATAACATCAACTGCCCAATTTATGTTATTATAGTTTATTTTGATGAAATGTTCTTTTTACCTGAACTTAAGCTAAAATACTGTATAAAAGTTTACCAGAAGGATTTGAAGGGTGTAGTGATCTCCAATCCTTTCCTCTCAAACTGCTTTACACACGCAGCCGTCAGATCCACCACAGCAATGGCAAGTCCGGCATTAAAGTCCTGTGAACATCAAAAATAAGAACTTTATAAAACCCTTGTTTTAAATACACAGCATCAAAAACTAAACAAAAAAGAATATAAACACAGTAGCCGTAAATGAAGCAGATCAGACATTAACAAAGGAATGGTCCAGAGAATTCACAGTCAGACATTGTGCGAGTCTGTTTAGAACATTAAAGCAGTGAATAAACTGAATAAGGGGAGAAAAATCTACCTATAAAAATCGTAGAACTGCAAGGTTGTGCGCAAAGGGTCACAGAGAGTACAGAACAGACACTGAGCTCACTGGAGGGTGAATACCTGCTAATCCACTGAGTCTGAATGAATGACAAAGATTATTTCACACAAGAACAAGCAGGAAACACACACACACATGCACACAAAAAAACTTTCTTTACAAGCTTTACCAATTACTTCAAGGGCAACAGCAATATGAAAAACACAGAGGAACAAAGTTTGATTCTGAGAGAAAAAACAGTGGCCTAAAAAAGATTTGTTTAAAGGTTATAGAACCATTATTTTATTGCATTGATGAGTGCAATGTTTAGAATACTCTTATTATTAGTAGTATTTTGTATTGTGCTGATTCAATGAAATTAATAACACATAAAATAGTAAAAAAAATAACCTATTTTTCAAGCTACTTGTATAGTAGGTTCATGGTGCAAAATTAATACATGCTGTTCTAGTTTTCTTTGGATTTGGAAGGGGTCTGGGTGTCTTTTAACTAAGACAATACAAACAGCGATTAAACTTGACTGCTGTGTTGAAGAGATCAGCGTTTGGCACTTTGATAATGACTTCTATTCTTTTCTGAGTGTCATGAGAGCCAGGGGAGGATGACCCAGTGTTCAAAGAAAGCAAATGATCTGCAAAAGATGAACTTGATTTGAATGACCAATGCAGACTGCCACAGCATTGAAGATACAATTAACACCTTTATTCAAATATCTGACATTGCCATATTTAGATTTAGATATTTAGATCTGCTATATAGAGAGAACCAGATGACTGAAATAGCTCTATTTGGAAAGAATTTATAATTTTAGAATGATTGGAAAGAATCTATAGCAGCGCATCTGCATAAATGAAATACTGTAAACAGTGTTTAAGGGTTTCTGAGGATTCAAACAATATCCAGGTACATAAATTGAATAATCAACTGTAAAATAATGTGCAAGGTCTTTATTGCATAAATAATTCAATAAAATAACTGGTATTAAAAGTAACAAATTGTACAATTTCTTATGCCTGCATGCTTTTAAAAAGTCACATGCATTCACTCAGTTATGGTTAAAGGTATGTGTGATTTTGCCAAGCAGGATGTTATCCTGGATTAATATCTATTTTGATCCAGGAAAGCCATTTTTGTTCGAAAATGTAATTCATACCTAATCCCTACCCCTAAACCCAACCACAACAGTAAATTATTCCTAAACTAATGATAAAGTTAATATATGTCCACTTATCCATGCTATAAATGCAATTTCTGTATGATTCAAATGATTTCAATAATTTTTATGATCAAAATCGCAGTATTTTTCATATTTCCTGTTCAATTAAAGCGTAGGAAGCCGGGTGAGGCAGCTGGAGCTGTGCCTCGAATCAGACTGTGCAATACCCTGCACACTGGGTTGAGGTCATGCCTTTTGCCAACCCAGTGTATGCTACCAATGTAATGCATTATAAAAATGTTTTTATAAATTGCAGACATTTTTATTATGTCCTCACTTTGCAAACTATAGATAATGTGTTTAGCGTATGCCTATCAATTATTTAGTGTAAGGATCCGGTATAAAGCCGCACTGAAAAGACAAGATGTGAGGCAGGCAGTAGCTCTGCTGCACTGAAGAGGGCACATTTGAGCTAATGTTATACTTGTTCAGTGATTGCTCTTCTTCTTTGCAGGAAAATTCCATAGGAGTCCTTTGTTTATGTTTTTCGCTGACTGACTGCAAAAATTATGGATGTAATGATAATATTCTCAAAATTGGACTTTAAATAAAAACGCGAATAAATAACAGACGACCAATGCTGGAGCTAAAAGACAAGACAGAAGATTACTTGATCATTCAAGTAATTCAAGTCATTTTAAGACTTCCTTCACAGGTACTGTAAAAGGTAAAACAAGTGTGCAATCCAGTGTGTGTGCATGCTTGCGAGCGTGTGTGTTTGTCTTTAGAGTCCACCCTGGTGTTTTTGGGGGGCATATTTAATCACTATACATTTTACATTCTTCTTTGGCCCAATATGTACCTGCCATTTGTATAGAAAGAATGGTGATATGATATATGAAACACAAATGGTAATTGGCAAATTATATTGGGTGCATATATATTTGTAAATATGACCCTGAAAGAGTCGTGCCTCACCAGCCTCAAACCTCCCTGCACGCCACTGAGATATAGATACTAAAACAACATGTTATGCATACAGTATATATTAAAAAACACTTTTAAGCTTGTAAATTCTAATTTAGTATATACACACAGGCTTTCAATTTCAACTAGCTAGCCTTAGCGTCTTTCCATTATAAAATTGTCACATTTAAGGTCTGATTTCTTTTCACTGCCTGATCGATATACAACATAAAGTGGGTTTGAGACCAGGCAAGAAGCACTCCATTGAAGTCCAATTTCCCTCATCATCTTTTCAAAATATAGAGTTCCTGCAATAGCCTGCTCATACTGACAGCGCTAGCAATTACACTATCATCTCTATCATAGTCTATCATCTCGTTTTACACTTTAACAACTACATGAATGCTTATGGCCCCGTTTACACTAGTGCGTTTTAGTTTTAAAACGGCGTTTTAGATCAAAAACAATCCGCGTCCACACTAGCATTTCACCTAACAATTCCTGAACATATCTCCGTCCACACTACGCCACCAAAAACATATATCACATGACCATTCGCGCACTCTGGGCATGCGTGTTCTAGTATAAACAGAAAGCGTCAACAAACGGCGGTTAAACATTAAACGCGATGGCAAAGAAAGCAAGAGAGGTATTTTTGTGGACAGACGACGAGGTCGAGTTGTTACTAAACAAAACAAATGAATAACTGCACAATGGCGCCTAAAACAATAGTGCAAACAACGGTCCTATTTCTGTGCCCATGTTGTTGTTTACAGTACTGTCTTACGGTAGCATTAAAGCCATGTGTTACAGTCATGTGATAGGGGCTTGATGAATAAGGTAAGGATACGCAATGACACAAAAGCCCCCATCAGGTAGCGAATCTCAGTTGTCCAGCCTCCGTTTTCAGATGTCTCCGTTTTTCCTCATCCACACTGATACGGAGCACCAGTGTTTTAGAATGAAAACGGCCTCTCCAGCATTTTCAAAACACTCCGTTTTCGGCGTTCGAGAACTCCGGCGTAGTGTGGATGGATGGCGTAACCGTAGCAAAACTTATGCGTTTTGAAACAAAAACGCCGTAGTGTAAACGGGGCCCAAGTCTGTTTTACAATATCAAAGCTGTAAGATTGAAAATAGTCACGTTAAGCTTTTACCGGAAGTTTATTATTAGCTGATAAACACTAGCTATGCAGATACCCCATTGATGGTCAATGTCATCAGCTGCAAAATAAAATGGTTCAGAAAGTTATTCCAACTGTATACAGGTTTTTATCAGTGTCATTACTCTTAAGAGCTATTTAAAAAGACATAATGAGTGACATATTTCTGAAGGTGAGTAGATTGTTGTTAATTTAAAACAACCAATTTTTATATTTCTGTGAACTTTATTCACTGTAAGACTGATTTGAATCATTATAAATCTTTGATGAGAATGTCAACCATTGCTGTCACATGTAATTAAAAGTAAAACAGCTTGAGGAAGACTCTGAGGTTCTGTTTAGTGGCACATGTCTAATCTAGCATGAGAGAGTCAGGTGTGAACAGGAGGTGTGAATAAAGTCAGAAAAAGAAATAACCACAGTGAGTTCATGACAGTGAAAATGTGATCCCTACGAAATTGACAAAAGAAACAATAGATTTCTTTCCTTTCTACTGCCTGCAACCCAAAAGCTGTTGTTTTATTTATTTATTTCTGTTATTTTTATGTTTTTCATTGCAAACAATGAACAGTGGGTTTGGAAGTATGCACAATAAGACAGAACAACATACTTTATAATTCAGACTGCTCTAGATGCAACAGTTTGATGGACAGGGTCATGCAAATTTAAAATAATCTACAGTATATTACTATTATTCTGTTCATGGTATCCACTTTCTTTCACAACAGGAAAAAACAAATATGATAGAGGTTCATAGAGTCTTTCAATGGATTGATTTGTTTACATGCGTTCAGGTTTTGAACAAGTACTGACTAAGCAAATGATGACAGAATTCAAATTTTTGGGTGAACTATCCCAACAAAATATGAGATTTCTGTAATTTCTTACACATCCTCATGTTGTACTAGCAGCATGACTTTTATTGAGGATATTTTTGATGGATTGCTATGAGGGCATGCAATTAATGAGAGAATTCACTTTTTAGGTGAAATGTAGAAAAAAATGTAAAATATGATTTTGTGTCAAATAAGATGATGTAAAAATACCTAATCACAACTATCTAAATCAACAAGTCAGAATTGAAAAAAAATGCTTCATAAGGGGTGTGGAGCGCTGTGAGCAGAGGGAGAAATGGGTGTGGCCAGCAAAGCAGGGGAGAAAGAGGAGAGCGAACAGCTGTTGTCAGTTGACTCACAGAATGAGACACAAACCGTTAGGAGACATATGATTTTAAAGTTTACAAAGTTAAAATGCAAAGAAATAAACAGTAATTTAATGCCCTGCTACATTTGTTATTTGTAATTTCATATACACATAACCACAATGTTATATCATCATAAAGATAATTGCGTTCATATAAGCACTACCAAATGAGGGGGACTTCTCTCCTCCTTAATCTCCAGGTCTAGATGCAGACACAGTGAAGCAGTGCAGTAGGTCTCTTGCCCTATCTATTCCAATTTTAAACATTGGTGAA